CATTTTCAAAATAATGAATTGGCCCCCACCACTTTCCAAAGGTGAACAGCTCTTCTTAGCAGCATTAGGAGCTCCTGGACTGAGTCACAGTTATCACTCTTACTGGTGCTCACGCTGCCATCCTGCGGCTCCACCACCTGCTCCAGACCTGGACTGGCCACTTCTCCAGGAAGCACTGGTTTCCTTGAGTGGGACAGAGTGTTTCTAGACCACGACGTGGGCATTAGGAGCGCTCCCTGCTGTGGGGCTGGTCAGTGTCTAGGCTTTGATAGTGTACAGGACTAGGAGATAGATGAGAGGTAGACAGACAGACTGTAAGGTTTTTACTTAACCTCTTCTATCCTACGTTAGTTACCTCCTGTCTTCTAAAGGAGAATCCTAGTTCAAGAGCAGACTCAGATGACAGAATTAGATTATCGCAAAATTAATCATTTACTTCATTCCAAATTAATACACAGCTTCAAAATATCAATACCAACATCAACACTATCTCTACCAAAATAATGACTGAAAACTGTTTAAAAATTACTTTTGCATATGATTTCCCCGTGCTCCCTGTCTTTTAAATTTCTATAGTGTCTGGATTCCATGAGAGCAGACTGCCATGGCACTCCTTTCAGCACTCATGTGGCCTCAGCTGCACAAGTAACTGTATGTTTAGTGCTCACCACAAGTCCTCATGACAATGTGTCCCTTGTTGTTTTGGTTGTCCTCACCTAGAAGAATCCTCAAGAAGGAATCATGAGAACATAATCCTTGTGTTCCTACATGTTGACAACAATTTGTCTGAGCTGGTTATATCTGAAATTAGTATAGCTGGACCTAAAAATCACACTTTCTTTACACAAGGACCTAAAACACTATTCTGTTATTTCTGGCATATACTGTTGCTGTCAAAAAGACCAATGGTAATCTGATTTTTTTTATTTGATGATAAATCACTTGCTATTTTGATCTGAAGGCCCAAAAGATTTTTTTTTTTTTCAAGTTCAGTACTTTTATCAGAATATGCCTTGGTCATTCTGGGTCAATGTTCTCAGGAACACAGTATGCCCATTCAGTAAATAGTTTCAAGGATTTTTTTAAATTTCAGATAGTTCTCTTGATTTACAGTTTTGAACATGTGGTCCTGCTGTACTGGCTCCCTTCTTTGGTGTCTCATAGGAGATGATTTGTATGTGTGTGTGTGCATGACATATACGTACACATGTTAGATCTTCTCCGCCTGTCTTCCAGATGTGTCGCTTTTCTCTGTTAATTCTTTTTTTCCCCTCCTTCTCATCTTTTGTTCCCCTTAATGTATCTGTTAGGTATATTCACTTCCTGGAGAATGAACAGCTACAAAAAATTTTTTCTTGTGTTTCAAGCTCTTTCCTGAGTTCTATCCATCTCATATCTGAGTTTTTCTACTTCAGATTTATGTTATTCTTTTGTAACTTGTATCACTTCTCACTGTCTTTTAACTCATTTTGAAATACTTCATAACTTTCACCACTGAGCACATTCTTCTGGCACGCTTTCGTGGGTTTTGGGTGTGTTATTTTTTGGGAGGTGCGCAAAAATGTGAGAGCTAATTTTCTAAGTGACTCAGCTCCGCTCTCCGCCCACACTTTTAGCTGGACTTTCTCTTTCCTTGGCTCTTCTATCCCACATCGTTCCTAGCAGCTTCTCCTCAGCTGGGTCTTTGTTCTAGAACAATTCTTTGCGCTCATCTGCTGCTGGAACATGCCAAAGCTCTCGCTTTTCAGCCACTGTTCTCAACGCGGCCACTGAACTGTCCGATGAGAAACTGTTGGTTGTTTGAAGGATCCTGGATCTGTCAGTTCGCTACAGCAAACCCTTGGACACCAGTTTTAACTGCGGGGGTACACTTACCCATGGATTTTTTTCAGTAAATATATTGGAAAAATCATGACATACCTAACCAAACAGTTAAGTAGCCAATGTAACAGTAGGCTATTAGAAGTTAAATAGTTAAGTACTTAACTACAGTTGACCCTTGAACAACATGGGTGTTAGTTCGAAATCCATGCATAACTTCTGACTCCCCAATAACTTAACTACTAACAGCCTACTGTTTACTGGAAGCCTACTGATAACATAAACAGTTGATATACACATATTTTGTATGTGATATGTATTATATACTGTATTCCTACAATACAGTGGGAGACAAGAAAATGTTATTAAGAAAATCATAAGGAAAATACATTCACAGTACAGTATGTATATTTAATAGAAAAAAACCCACGTATATAAGTGGACCCCCACAATTCAAACATGCATTGTTCAAGGGGCAACTGTGGTTGTGTTCTGTTTCCTCTTGCAAGATGCTGAAGCCATGTAGCTAAGTGGTTTGTGTTATCCAAGTTGCTCAGTCTGTATTACTGGGTAATTCACAGATATCCAAAACCTAGAACAGTTTACCACCATCTTCTAAGATTTCTAATCTTAAACATAAAATTCCAAGAAATCAGAAATTTCTGGGTATTGTTTCATAGGAAATGAACATACTGTTTTCTGTGTGGAAAGGTGACTTCTCTTACCCTATAGGCTGGTTGTATGAGGAACACAGACAGTTCGCTTCCCAAGGATTGAAGATAAGAGAAATAGTTTGCCTTTTGAGAATTCATTTGGAAATCAAAACATAACAGACCAAAGGGAGGTGTGCAGGCAGATGGCAGTGAGATGCTCTGGTGGACATGACTCCCAGCATGGCAGCTGCCAAACCCAAGTACCTGAAGCCATCCGGACCATGCTGCTAGGGCTGCCCATTGCTAGCAAGGGTGCCCAGGCACCCAGATTGGACAAGAACTTCTGGGTCTGTTTGGCCACTGTGGACATGCTGAGGGCTATGGTGGCTTCTGGCTCAGAGGTGGGAAAAAGCTGAAGGCAACCATGGGTGCTGGGAGACTGGTGAGCAGCGGGATGGCAGTGGAGCGCTGAGAAGAATTTGGAGGCCTCTTTCTTGCAGATGGCCTCCCTCAGACCTCATTACAAAGAGGAAAGAGAAGCTTGATTCTGTGGTTGAACTGAGCATCCCAGATCCTCTGCTGATCTGGAGAATCACAGGAAGGCTGATTCTCCCCATCAGTGGCCGCTTCTCCCATGAGGAGTTCAACCCCCAAAGGATCCCATGAAAGATGACATCACAAGTAACCACTGGTCCCTCGCTCAGATGACAATGAGAAGGCCTTGCAAATCCACCTGGAGGCTCACCACACACAGACTACCCCACTTGTGGGGTCCTCCAGGAAAGGGGGTCCACTCTGCTATGGATGTGTCCCAGACCCCTGGTGTCGCGTTTGCGTGCATCCTAGCAGCCTTCAGCAAAGCCATGTCCCAGGAACAGAAGGCCCAAGACTGCACCACTGTTCATCACCCACGGAGTGATCCCTGCTCCAGTGCTGGGCAGAGGGAAGGGTGGTCAGGGTAGGGATTGGGGGGGGCGAGGGGCTCCAGAGGAGCAGTTGGAAGGACAGCAGTGTTGTTGTGTGAATTGGTTTTACACATACGAGGGAGTATTAAAAGTATAGGTAAAGGGGAAAATAAATTTTAAAAAAACCAACTGTGATTGAAGGGTATGGGTAGAAATAGGGAGATGCAGTATTATTTCTAAGGAATCGGTTTTTTATTTACTCTGGGTGACAATATTTTTTAAAGCCAATGCCCAAAGACCTCAGCTTTTCCCTCAGAACCTCAAGGGCTGCCAGGCCAAGAATGCAGGAATCAAACTGTTGTCCTGCCTGTCCTCCAGCTTGGACAGGGGGCGTTGACTACTCACCCTGTTTCCCCACATCATGAGATCAAAAGCTACTTGCACACATGAACGAGACATTCATGGGTATGTCCGTGGGGGGATGGGCTCAGCAAGCCGGGTTCAGGGGAGTAGGAGACTGGCCCCTCCCTTCCCCTGACTTACAATCTGCCTGCTCTCATGGGTGAGCTCTCAGCAGTCGCCAGCACATGCCACGGTCCCGCACTCCTGCCTTCCTTCACCCATGGTGTGCGAAGGGACCCTTTTAAACAAATAAGTGAATGTCCCAAGCTATATCACCCAAAGGTTGTCTTTTCCATCCTCAAATCCTGTGACGGGGACCACTCGACAGCACTGTGATATATTATTTCCATTGAGGTGCCTCTCTTAACTAGCCAAATGCTGCCTTGTTTGGCCCCTAAATCAATAAAGTATGTTAAAATTTGGACCAACAAAAAAAAAATATCAAAGTAGTGTTCTACAAAGTCATCTTTCCTCCCTATTTTTTATTTTGGAAAATATCAAACTTACAGAAAAGTTACAAGAATAGAAAAGAACATCCATATACCCTTACCTAAAGCCACTAATTTTTAATAATTTAACACCTTTACTTCATTTCTCTCTATATTCACATTCATAGTCTTTTTTTCCCCTGAACTATATTGAAGTTAGTGCAGGCATAATTATCTTTCTTCTGTAAACACTTCTGCTTATATTTCCTAAGAACATTCTGCTACAATTTAAATTTCACAATGCCTCCAAATGAATATATTAATGCATGCTTCACAATGTGACATAATTAATCTTATGAAATCTTATTCCTAATCAGCTGGTCCTAATGTTACAACAAATACAAATTCTCATTTCCTCCAGACTCTCTCTCCTTATAGAAGTCACCAGACTTTGAATTTTATTATCACAGCTAATTAGATGTCTAAAGGATCACAGCAGTTATACTTGAAAAAAATGCAACAGTTCCCACATTCCACTAATTTGGGATGACCTCCTGGCACATGAGTACAAAACAGTAAAGAGTGAGAATTAAGAAATTGTTTAGCTAAAAATTACTTTTATCACTTTCAGACAAATACAGTAACTCATTGTTAACAAAGTACCCAGGAGAAGTCTCAGGCTGCTTGTATTAATGGATGACAAGCAAGTCACAAAGCAAAAACAGCAGGCATGGAGAAATGGCATTGTATCTGAGATGTGATGTGCTAATTAAAATCAGGAAAGGGCTTACCATCACTGAGATCCTGAAGGAGATTCTCCTGGCAGGAGAAATCCAGCTTCACTTTGATGTTGATGGTGAACGTGGCCACCTTCCCAGGCTGCAAAGGGAACTGGGCGAGAGTTTCTTCTAGATTCCAGCTCAAGAAGTCGCCATACAACTTTTCTATAATAATAATAATAATAATAATAGTGATAATAGTGATAATAATAATAGTGATAATGGTAATGTAACAGAGACAATATGAGACTAACCAATCCCCCTAGAAAATTCTGAGGCATCTCAAAAGCAAAGTGAAAAGCATTTAAAATGTGATAGATCGGGCCGGCCAGGTGGTGCACTGCTGTGGTGCGCCGCTTGGGAAGCGCGGCGGCGCTCCCGCCCGAGGGTTCGGATCCCACATACGGACCGGTTCCCGCTCACTGGCTGAGCGAGGCGCGGGAGCAACACCGAGGGTTGCGATCCCGTTGCCGGTCCCCAGTCCAGTACGGGGGCAACACTGAGGGTTGCGATCCCGTTGCCGGTCCCCGGTCCAGTACGGGGGCAACACTGAGGGTTGCGATCCGTTGCCGGACACGGAAAAAAGACAAAAAGACAAAAAAAAAAAAAATGTGATAGATCAAAGTACCAAGAAAATTCCAGAATCAAGGGGTGTCTCAAGACGATCACCCCTGCTTACGAACAAGGCACGAGGAGGAAGAGCGGCCATCGGCGGAGGCCACAAGCTGCAAGCCACGTCAGCTTCACTCCACATGAGCAGTGCTCCTCACTGACAGCATCAGTGCTTTTGCTCTTACAAACTAAATCAGAGTTGAACTAAATTTGTCCACAATGTAATTGTTTCTGGATTATTATCACTTTGAAGAGAAACAGACCCACGTTTAGCAGAAGCATACTCAATATGAGAGACTCTCCAGAAGAAGAGACTATAAAATCAGAAACAGAGAATTCAGCACAATACTTGGGAAGGGCCTGTGGAGGGGAGGTGCTTCCTCAGTTTACTGAAATCCCACGTCTCTCTTTAAAACTTGAGAGTTGGAGTCAAATGGCCTTGGGTTTGGCACCTTTTTGACACTGACTAACCGATTCCCTGAGCCCAGGTTTCTTCAAGTATAAAGTGGGGACGACTACTGCATCACAGGGTGGATTCACAGACTCGACAAAGTAACGTCCGGGAAGCACCGGGAAGCTCACGGCACTGTGAAAACCAAAGGCACAATGCTCTGAGGGAGGAAGGGAAGACAGGAGGGAGACGAGGGGAGGCCAGGCTGGTGCCCCTTGGAAGAAACTGTGTCACCTCCCAGGCTCCAGCTCCTGCCACACAATCCCTCTTCACTGAAAACTGGGGTGTGTGGTGTGAGGCCTAAAATCAAGGCCCAGTATTAGGAGCTGCCTCGACATCTGGCAAAACTGGGATGGCCTTGAATGGTCTCACCACAAGCACCCCTCTAACGCTGCCTCCCAACCGGGGGACCAGCACAGTTCCTGCATCCCTGAGCAGTGGGTTTCAGCTCCCTGCCAGCCTGCAGAACGAGCGGAACACACCAATCACTCCCTGCACGGGAACCAGGGGGCACCCCACCCACTTACCCCAAAGTCTGCCTCCCATGGCCTCTGGTTGGTTGTTCATGCTATTCCTGAGTGGGGCCCCCACGTAGCCCTGCGTGGCACCATGTCCTCCTCCCCTGGGCTGTGAGTATATGTGACTAGTAAACTGCCATTCATCACATCTGTCCAGTGTCAGGTGCTGTGTATTTGACCATCCACATACCCTAGGCCGAAAATCCCTCCTCACCAGCAGGGGGACTAGGAGGACATTAAATCAGGGCCTTCCTTCCACCGAGAAGGCCCTGCCATGCTATTAGCCCCGGCGGGAGGGGCCCAGCTTCCCGGCTCCTCCTGTTGTCCCTTTAGTCTTAGAGGCGGGAGCAACGTGCTGCTGTCCCTACCATCCCCTTGTGTGAACCAGTTCTGTGCTGAATTTCCTGTCTGAATAAGGAAACTGAGGCTCAGAGAGATTAAGTAACTTGTCAAAAACTAGGGAAAAGATCTAGAAGTCTAGATCCAAATAGTTCCAAAATCATTACATTCACTTCCTGCACAAAGGCACTTCATGGCAGAGTTAAAATGTAAAGTCCTGGTCACAGGACTCAGAAATCAACCTCAGAGGAATTCAGTAGAAGACAGATAGCTTAACCAGGGTCCATATGAAAGAGAAAAGATCTGCGGGGTTTGCAAACTGCAAGAACACAAAGCCAAACCGTGCTGTGAATGGAAAATAAGTTCATGTCTTCCTGGCCAAGGTGTGCTCGGTCATGGCACAGTGCCCCCAGAACTGGCCAAGATCCAGCTGGAACATGTCTAATAGACCAGCCATGTGTATTCTGTGTTTCCTTAAGGAGGGATGCTAACACACAGGGACAGATCCAGAGGATGGTGTCCTTGAAAGGTGTTTAAAAACCACATCACATTCATTGATTTACTTAGTCATCCGCCAAACACCTCAAATGTGCCAGACATTTTCCACATGTTACCTCACTTAATCCTCACAAAAACCAGTGAAGTAGTTGCTATTGTCCCCTTTGTAAACTAAAGAAATTAAAGCATGTGACTGAGGTCATTCAGCTGGTAAGTAGAAGATGTGGCATACCACAGGTGCTCAATAAACATCAGCTGCCCTGGAGCATCACCAGCTCTGCTACCTCATGAGGTGTTCAGATGTTTAGTGGACTGGTATTACCACATGACTTCAGAATGGTTTGGGAAGAGATGGACAGCTGTGAAAACGGTGACTTAATTGTTGAGAGGGCTGGCTTTGACAGCACTGTGAGGGACGAGTCGCCAGAGGCTGAGATGCTTTCAAGAAGCTGTGGATATCAAAGGAGATCCAAAAAGGAATTTAGAGACAGAAATGGAAACCGAGAACTGCAGGACAGTATCAACCAAGTCTCTAACGTAAAGGTGGGAGAAGAAATGGGTCCACAAAATGACCTAAAGTAGAAGAAAGTATATCACATCTAAGATTAGCCACCATCAAATACAGGACAGGAATCTAAATGCTTCAGCCAAAGCTGTGCAGAGAAACAGTAAAGAGTACAAAACACGGATTCCTTTCGTATTTCAGTATCATAACAGGTTACTGAATTATCTGTCTGGAAACCTGCTTCAACACACAACACTTGGCTCCAGGCTGCTCACGGCAAATGTGTGGACACTCAGACATACCACCTACCGTTCAGAAGGTAAGCCGTGCAGTCACAGAAAGAACAGAGACCTTCAAACTTCACAGCTATCTCACAGCGAGAAACTGAGAGCAAAAGGAAGGAGTCTGACCCGAAATCCTATAGCCAGATGGAGTGTATCTTTCTCCCCACCTCTTTGAGAAGGTTCTAAGGACACTGGTTTGTTACCATGGAAGGTAACCGGCTTCCTTCCTCTTGCACTGTGAGAAACCACCCACCTGTTCTCTCCCTACAGTCACTTCCCTCCCTGCTCCACATGACTTCTTCCACAAGGTGCTCTGGACTACCCTACCTGGCTCCTCTTGGTTACAGCTCTGCCTGTACTCAAAGAATCTAAATGGCTGGAAGCCCTCAAAGCTATCTAGTCTACCCCCCCACAAAACGCCAACACCCCTTTTTATTGTGCTTTCCTACAGATATCAACCCACCCACGAGCGGCAGCAGCAGATGCAGTTAAAAACCCACTGAAGCCCAAGGTCCTGAGTGCCAGTGTCAGCTCCACCCCTTCCTAGCTTGCTCCTGGGTGTGTTACTTTCACTGGGCCCCAGCATCCCTCTCTTTTACAAGTAAAATTGGGGAGGAGGGAATACGAGTACCTACTTCACAGCTGTTGTGAAGGTTGCAGGGTTTAAAACACACATGGTACCCAGTAAATCTTATATAAGTGTTTGTTGTTGTTATAATTATTTGGACTTGTCAAGGACACCTCCAATGATGGGGGCTCACAGCCTCCCAAGCCTGCTACTTCCTCTATGGGATAGTTCTAATAAGTTTGCAAGTGTCTGAGCACCAACTCTGTGCTGGGCCCTATCTGAAGTTCATATACTAAGGACACAGGAGGCATCTGACTGATGCCAGGGTGCAGAATAGTTAACTTACATCACACCTTTACTTCCTCCCAAAGCCCTCATACATCAGCAGTATTCACATTACATATATGAACAAAACTGGGGCTCAGAGAGATCAAGTGCTTTCCTGGGGTGTAAAGCTAGGAGGTCTCAGAGCCAGGACTTGAACTCTGCCCCCTCCTCACACACACCTACCTTGGCTCCATCCCTGTGGCCAGTTCAGCATGCGGATGCTGCCTCCTCTCTACACAGCGGCCCCTGTGTCTACCCAGGCCTCCTCCTCCCTGAGCTGAACCTCTCTGCCTTCTTTCTGCAGCAGCATGAACAGCACAGAGGCAGGAGATGCGGTGCAGCGCCTTCTCCAAGCAGGCATCTGAGGACACCTCCAACACAGTCGCAGTGCAGGGGGGTCCCTGGACATGCCAAACGCTTCCCCAGACCTAGACCTTGGCCCATCACATTCCCACTGCCAGAAATGTCTCCCCTCCTTCTCTCCCTGGCTGAATCTCCTCAAGTCTTTTAATACCCAGGTCCAGGTGTTCACCTCAGACACACAGCTGCCCCGCCCTCCCACCACACACACCTCCAGACTGGCTGCCGGCACCCCACATCCTAACAGTCAATCCCTCTGTCTGTAGCTCTCATCAGCACACGAGTGTGGGGAGAAGGACCCCTTCACTGTCTATGGGCAAATATTTACTGAGCACCTGCTGTATACCAGGCAGAAACAGGCCAAAGACCACCCTCCCAGGGCTCATGGTCTGACAGAAGAGCTAGAGATTAGGCAAGAAATCAGACACACCGGATAAGTGTCAGGACGGGTAAGTCTTGAGTCCTTGCCCGCACACCAGAGATGTGTACTCTAGTTTGGGGTGCCAGGGAAAACTCCCCAGAGAGACTGACATTCAGACAAGAACAGAGAAGAGAAGTCAGGCAGCTGAGAAAGGGGGTGGACAGAGCCATGCCATCGACTCTGGACTGGCCCCAGGTGTTCATGCCTTGTCTTGGGTGTGCAGTGTGTTCAACTGGCACCCCACTGAGACTCCTTACACATACAGTGGTCTTATCTTCTTCC